TTACAAAACTGTTGTGTTTCCTGTCATCTTTGTTTTGTTAGTGGGATTTGTTTGTGGTGCAGTGCTGGGATCTGTAATAATTATTGTCATGAGTGTGATTGAAAGTTTGCAATAAATGGTAAACTGTGAATTTAATTTTTTAGGTGTGGGACAGTCAGAATTTGCTGTGGCTGATATGGTAGATATGTTTATATTACTGCTACCACCTGCAGGTGGAGATGAATTACAGGTATTTCTCAGTTTCTCTTGATTACTAGATTACTAGATTTCTCTTATTGATTACTAGAAAGAGAAACTTAATTCAAGATACAGTATCTGTGTAGAAAGTCCACATCAACAGTCCATTACACTGCTCGTATCAAAGTATTTTCAGTGTCATCAATTTATTGCACAGCTAAGATCCAATATGCTCTCCTGGTTTTGGAAGTATTAGGATGTAAAATTTTGATACTTTGTGACATACCTTTGACATAATTACTAGTTACATAAAATTTTTGGGAGTGGTTTTTGCATTATGGGAAAACAAAAATGAATATAAATAGTTTTGCAAACTTGGTCATGTTTTAGGTAAACCCGAGTCTCAACACATGAAATAGGTTTACATGTGAACTCTGATGTCCATATGTAGTGTTCTTGTGTCAAAGTAGAGTAATAACTGGTAATGACAGAGGGTATTGGTACTACTCTTGCTTGACTGGCACATACACACACATGTACACACACCAAAGTCAGTCAGAGCCACTAGAAACTGAACTAGCATTTTGACCTGCTTTTTGTGATAAATCACCCAGTCCTTCTGGGTGTTCATGATTTCTCTCCATGTTCCACTTAGGGTATCAAGCGGGGTATAATTGAGATGGCAGATCTGGTTGCTATAAATAAAGCTGATGGTGATTTAGTTGTGGCTGCACGGAGAATACAGGCTGAGTACATCAGTGCTATGAAGCTGCTTCGCAAGCGTTCGAAGGTTTGGAGACCAAAGGTTTGTGTACTTCCCTGTGACTTGTGTGTCAGTTTGGGTATGCCTTTGTTTTGTTTGGGTTTTGTTGGTGCGTTTGGCTTTTTTCGTAATTTTTCCCCCAGAAAAAAAAATACTGAATGAGTTATGGTATCCTCTCATCTAGCTGTACTAGTCTCCCTGGGCTCTTTTATAAAAAAAATTTTGGTTGGTTGTTTAGTTTTACACTGTGCTGGAGAGCTGATTGCTGCTGTTTGTGTGTCACCTCTGATCTCAAGGTGTGCCACATGAAACACTGTGCAAAGCCAGTCCTCCTTCCCATGAGTTCTGTCCTGAGCTACAATCTCAGCACTGGCAGACCTGTTACTAACATCAGTAGTGGTACAAACTTTACTTGCTTTTTGTAAACTGTGCATATCCTAAAATGTCCCATAGGCCATTTCTCCATCATTTGTAACTCTGAAGCCTGTGGTTATCTTTGTTCTTTCACTAGTACTTATGTTTCCTTTGCTTTAATATTTTTTCGTTGCTCACAGAATGAAAGTTCTTGGGCAAGAGCCTTGTCTACTTGTGTATGCAATGTCTAGATTATTGGAGTTCTCATCCCCTGGGTCTCCAGTTTTGATGCTGTATTTCATCTGTTAAAAGGTTTTAGTAAATTATAAAGGAGAAGATTCTGTACTAATTTTTAATGTGTGTCTATAAATAAGCACAGGCACACACTCTCCCTTCCTTTATTTATGTACATGTATCTATAAACCAGGTTTGCTCTCCCCTGGTATTAAAATTGACCCATTGAATTAAGGTTAAATCATCTGGGCTGCCTGAGGTTTAGCTGTCCTTTTGTAAGTGGGGGAAAGAGACAGAGACTTCAAAAAAACCAGACTGTTCCGTTTAAAAGACTGTGTTAGATATCTGAAATATTATTGGCAAAATTAATTCCCAGTCTGGAAAGCTAAGGCCAAAAAATAGTCAAAATACCTCATTTCTGGCACACTTTAAGTGCAAAAGAATAGCTACCAGAATATGTATTTAACTCTGTGTGTAAGTAAAAAAGCAATAATGTACCTTTTAGCTTGAGGTCTCATTAAAAATTATTCTCATTATACAAGCAGTTGGACAAGGCTTATTAATCCCAAATACTGTGGATCTCAGGGTCCACTTATAGTTGGTAGAATCCCAATTTTGAGATATCTTTTCAAAAAAACCCCACAGAACAACCAGAGCCTCGTGAAGTGAGCGTGTTGAGTGAAGTTTGCCTTACACATTTCCTAATTTTCACGGAATTTACCTGGTGCAGTAATTGAACCCTCAAGCCCAGTAGTTCCTTGGCTTTAAAGATTCCTCTGAATCCAACAGGTAATGCGCATCTCTGCCAAAACTGGAGAAGGTATCTCGGACATGTGGGATAAAATGACTGAGTTCCGTGACCTCATGCTCACGAGCGGTGAGTTGATTGCCAAACGACGGAAACAGCAGAAAGTGTGGATGTGGAATCTCATCCAAGAAAACATGTTGGAACATTTCCGGAGTCACTTGGCGGTCAAAGATAAGATTCCACTTCTAGAAGAAAAGGTTCTTAGTGGAGTCTTGTCTCCTGGACTGGCAGCTGACCTGCTACTGAAAGCGTTCAAAGATAGTCTCTAAGCATTATTTTCTTACTCTGTTCCTGATAAGTGCTTTATGTAAACATGAACATTAAATAAGCTTTTTCTGTGTGTGGATTCAGATGTTTTACTACAGCAGACATTAATGGAATACCCAACCACTACTCTGCAAAAGAATACCTCTGGATTCTGTATATGGGATGATCATGACAAATCCAAACACTCACTCAGAGATTACTACAGACTGTATTGAAAAAAAAGCACAAGCCCAGATCTTCTCTTTGTATACACCATAGATCTGTTGATAGGAAATGGATGCCCATGTGAAAATGTGACTGGTTTTGGGGGGGTGTGAGAGTAAGGTTTGTGCTGGTGCAGGGTTTTATTCTGGTTATGGGGTCATCTTAGGAACAGTTGACACTGCAGCTTTCCAATGTATTTTTTCTAATATAGCATCAGCTGTTGCCAGAATGGATTGCATTTTTTAATTTCCTCACCTTGAGTGACAGCAAGAACATTGGACTGCCTGACAGCACTTGACCACAGTCTTAGTTTTAAATAAATTGTATGCATATAAATAGAACATAGTGGTGTTTAGTCCCTGTTGGAAGCTATAGTTAGTTATTATACACTGTACACAAGGAGAAGGGAATTTTAACCATCCCAAAATAGATATTTTAATACAAAAGCAAAATTTAGTTAGACTTTTTTTAAACGCAGACATCAGGTGGAACAAATGTTACCCATGATGTTTTAATAGCATATGTCTTTATACTAGAATAATAGATCTCTAGAAATAATATTTTGAGATTTTTTGATCTGATTTACGTTTTCTGGATTCAGACAAAATGGCCAGTTGTGGTTTTGGTATTTTTTTTCCTCTCTCGCAGAAGACATGACTGCTTACAACCAAAAACACTTTTATTTTTCATTTTTCTTTGAGAAAAATCTGGAGGAAGCATTTCCCTAAGCCATGATCTAGAAAGCAGAGCTCATCTGGCACCTACTAAATGTGAAGGATGAAGTGGAAAAGTGCTGAGTTTTGGAGACCTGACTGAAAAAACAGTAAAATATGAGAGTTTGTGAGTCTATTGTTGATTAGGTGAATTAACTTTTTAAAACATACATTGAAAGTGGTGATTTTCATAGTTTTTATTTTCTTAATTTGTACATAAAAGGTATGATGTCTTAAGCTTACTTTCACCTGTTTGGCTTGTAGCAGCCCAATTCCAGCATAGCAGTGAATTGGTTTACTTAGGTCCTCTTTTTTCCTTAATATTTTTTTCCCCCCAAAGTATTTTTTTCTCTTCTTTCCCCTTATCCCAGCTGTTATATTGTGCTCCCAACTGAGTTTACTTTTTCCTGCTAGGCCTCTGGGCTTCAGAATTTTGATTCCTGCATAGGCATAATTTGGCAGTTGTCAGAAAAGATGAATGATTTCTGAAAATGCTGAGGATTTTGTTTCATTTGGTTTTCAAAGTGGCACAAATTACACAATGCAGAAGAAACCTCTATCCTTGGTGCTAGTATTCCAGTTATTTCTACCATTTTATGATGGTGTCTATATAATAGTCCATGTATTTTTATTCTAAAAATACAAAGTATGACTAGAAAGTAAAAAGCAAACTGCAAGGCAAATTAAAAGTACTCATTAAAAGCCTAAAAGTAATGATTCCCATGTATGTTTGCAGTGAAATACTAATGAAGGGCGCTGTGGTGTTTTGGGGGGCATACAGCTCAGGCATTTCTTGGTTAAGAAGTCTTGCACTGGTGTAGCTGGTATTAGTGGTTTCCACCACATAAATTGCAGAACTTCAGAGCCCTGACCCCTTATTCTTATTTCTTAATCAGTAATTTGGCGTTCTGGAGTTGGTTACATAGAAGCAGCTGAGGGAATAGAGGGAGTGGCAGAAGCACAGGCAGAAGCACGTTATGACCATGCTGAGTTGTGAAAGAAATGTAGTGCTTATAGTTTCTTTTTTTATTTAAACAGCCTCTATTGAATATGACAGAGAGTGCCCCAAACCAAAAGTAATGTCTCCTGTCCTTTCAGCGTTAGATACTGACTGTATTTTATGGTACCTAGTAGAAGAAATGACAGTCAGGTGGAAAATGAATTAATGAGAGCAGCAGCAGCATTTTAACTGGTGAGTTCACAACTTTTTGATAGTCCATTTGTTTCAGGTGGCAGTTTTTGAGGTGACCTCATTTGTGTTTGTCTGTTAGATCAAACCCTTATTATTGTCATTACTGCTACTTCTGTCAGGGACTGCTGTTTTCCTTGTCTGTTATACATGAGCTGCCAAGCAAGTAAAATAGAACCTGCTTAAGCAGAAAATGTTTTGCCACTTCTTCAGTATTTGTTTTCTGGTTGCAGGTCTGTTGATGCACTCAAGCCATGGGCCATCATTATTTTC